AAATGTGTGAGTACTAAACAGACTCATGTACTTTTAATGTGTATGTACCAAACAGACTCATGTACTTTTAATGTGTGAGTACTAAACAGACTCATGTGCTTTTAATGTGTATGTACCAAACAGACTCATGTACTTTTAATGTGTGTGTACCAAACAGACTCTTGTACTTTTAATGTGTGTGTACCAAACAGACTCATGTACTTTTAATGTGTATGTACCAAACAGACTCATGTACTTTTAATGTGTGTGTACCAAACAGACTCATGTACTTTTAATGTGTGTGTACCAAACAGACTCGTGTTCTTTTAATGTGTGTGTACCAAACAGACTAGTGTACTTTTAATGTGTATGTACCAAACAGACTCTTGTACTTTTAATGTGTGTGTACCAAACAGACTCATGTACTTTTAATGTGTGTGTACCAAACAGACTGATGTACTTTCAATGTGTGTGTACCAAACAGACTCTTGTACTTTTAATGTGTGTGTACCAAACAGACTCATGTACTTTTAATGTGTGTGTACCCAACAGACTCATGTACTTTTAATGTGTGTGTACCAAACAGACTCATGTACTTTTAATGAGTATGTACCAAACAGACTCATGTACTTTTAATGTGTATGTACCAAACAGACTCTTGTACTTTTAATGTGTGTATTCCAAACAGACTCATGTACTTTACATGTTTAACAAATTTAATGAACCAATTCAAGATTGTTCAACTTGATTTTACATGATTTGAGACATAGATATCAGTCAACTATTCAATAGAAGTCAATGGTCATTTTACAGATGGAACAAGATTTCGTTTTGAAGGGTAATAAGATCAAATGTAGCTAGAGGGAAAATAAACCTAAATTTAGCGAAATTTCTGAGATAATATCAAATTTATTACGTTGATAGCCATATCATATCATTGATACAAATTCTATCATTATTATCTTTTCAATTTTATGATTGAACTCCAGTTTAGCAAGTAATTGACCCATTTTCAAAGATCGGCCAAAGTTTTACTTTTTAGGTTTACTGGGTTTAAAACCACAGGGGAAATATGTCGTTAAACATTAGTAGTAAAAAACGATTCTCATAATTTGTATATACAATTTCAAGGGCATACATTTTTTCTTCAATTTTGTATGTTCACCTCTTGAGTGTTCGCTTTTAAAACCCGTTACATGAATGAAATTCCTTTTTTTTACTTTCAGCAAATATTTAACTTGTCATCTGTCTCATCTGTCTGAAACCACCCAACATTACTTAAGAAGTCCTAAAGGGATTGCAAAGAATTTTTTTGTAAAAATTAATATCTATCGGGGACACTAGTAGCATCAATTTGCTCAATTCCAGTTTTCAATCAGGCGTCTGTGGTTCCTGCATGAATGTTTGAAAATTAAAATGGTGCAAATCTATGCTATCTGTGTCCCCGATAGACATATAAATGTAACATATGGAATGCAGGAAATGTTCTTTCTACTATTTATTTGGCTGACAAAGTTGTACAACTCCTTGCAGTGTGCAATAAGGAATCGTTATCCAAAACAGCAGCATCTTAATCCAACTGCCC